AGGGGCAGCGCCAGCCTGATGTTCAGGAAGCTGCCAGTGCACATCACAGATCGCCTGCAGAACGCAAGTCTGGATCTCCTTCTTTTTCTTTCTTCGAGACGCTTTTATAGTTGTTCTTTGTTGTTTCCTTTGATCTGGAGCAGATGTTGCTCGTGCTGGAAGATGGAGGTTTGCATGTTTTATGAGGGGGAAGCGAGGCGCTGCTAGGCTCGCCGGGAGAGCCCGCGTGCTCGCTGGCTGCTGCTCGGGGCCGCGCGCCCTGCACCGTGCGGGATGTTTGGCTGGGGCAAGTGCTCGCTCTGCCCAGCTCCCACGCCAGAAGGGATTCACGGGTCTGGAGAGGTGACACGTGTATTTCTGTGCTATTTCCTTGGCCCCCCAAAACAGGTAGAAAGGAGATAGATAAGCCAAAAAAAAGCAGTTCCTCCTTGCAGGCACCCAGCCTGGTGAGACTCATCAGTCTCCTTCCCTGTCACTGGTGATGCCTTCCAATACTCAGGGGTCTCCCTGCCTCTCTCCTGATGTGTGGCTGAAATTTGGGGTGCACAGGGGTACCGAGGGGTACATCAGGAGACAGCAGTGGGGAGAGGCAGCAGCGTGGTCATTGCATGCAAGGAAGAGGGATGGGGAAGTCACGATGATGGGAGAAGGCAGGGCCAAGGGGTACGTGCATGGGATGCGTGGGCTTTTGCACCTCTGTTAGCTCGGGGACAGGTGTTTGGAGGTGAAAGCGTAGCAGGGACGTAGTCTGTGCCAGTGGCAGGAGGGTGTCTGTGCGCCAGGGAATATATCTGTGTAGGCAAGTGCATATGCTTGGATCCGTAAAGACATATATCACCTGACTGAACACCCTCGAACGTGTAACACACCATATGGTTTGGTTAAATATTTAAGCAACTGCTTTCTGTCTCGGGGACTCCACATGTGCGAGCAGGCACCAAGTCCAGGCAAACCTGGTGGCATGCCCTAGGCACCTACGGAGGGCTGCAGCGGCTTAGAGCCGCCCAGAGACCTTTCCCATCATCGTGGCAAGGATAGGGGAAAAAAAAAAGTCGTCGGATCGATAAAACACCAGCCCATCTCTGGGGAAATCTGCGCTGTGTCACTGGAGCAGCTTGGCCAACACTGCCATGTTTAATCACATCTGAGCAAGAGAGATGCTGAACACAAAAGGACTGCCCGCAAGGAGAGGGTTCCCGCCTGGGAAGCCTGCATTTATTTAACTTCATTTATTTATTCATTCCCACAGGGGCACAGCTCCATCTGCGTCCCGCATTCAGCATAAGAAATTTCTCCTCTGCCCCGTTGCTGCAGAAATGCCAACTGACGGTGAAAGCGTTGTAATGCAGAGGGAACGGGAGCACCCGTGACCGTTAAATAAATATATACTCGCGATCACTTATTTATTAAAGTTTCCCTCCCTAGTGTGGTAAAAGCCTTACAACATACCTGTTCAGTCCCCAGAAAGGCATTTTAAATAGTCCGTGTGGTTAATTATTCAGACGTTTAATTAGCATACAATAACTGTCGTGTTAAATCCTACCACCGCACATTTAATTTAAGGGTTAGCTAACGACTCCGCTGACTGTTGTCGCTCTGGTTTACTTCCCAGCCATTCCTGCCTCATCTCGTCCTGCAGTAAAATGCCTCTTCCCGAGCGTATCCCGAGCTCGCCGGGGCAGGGTGGGCTTTTCTCCGGCGCACGAGTGGCTCAAGCTGCTTATGTCGGAGAGAGCAGCCAAGTCTCCTGTTGCTACTGCAGAGGAGGAGGATGTAGTGCTCATATTCTGGGAAATCCAAGTTTAATTTGTTTAAATTATTATTTTAAAATCTGGCCAGTTGATTTGATTACAGACTCTTCTCCCCTAGCCGGGCGGGTGCAGATCCACGCGTGCGGCACCAGAGTCGTGATGCAGATTCCATCTTGATTTATTTTTTAAGTCTTGGTGAGCCCTGCAAAACGAGCCGAACTGGGTCGATGTGTATTCAGTAGTTAAAAACAACAGAAAGGTTCCTTTAGTGTGATTTAACGAGCATCGCATCGAAGGTGATGGCTAATGCTCTAGTTTTGTCAGGACTCGGCGCTGGAAGCTGTTGCTTCTTCCTGGGCGATTCACCGCTTGCCTCTTTCCACCCCTCTGAAATGGCAACGGTAGTACCTTCTTGGCCTGTTTTTGTGGTCCAGACCATAAGCTCCATCTTTTTAAAGCGCACGTGGCCAGGAACACGGCGAGGCAATCACAGCACCGTCGTAATTAATTGCATCGCCTCAGTGGACTACCTGGTTATTGGCAGAGCATCTCCCAGCTCCGGGCTGGCGGGTGGTCCCAGGAGGGATGTGCTGTCCCTTTACGCCAGTTTTAATGACATGGATGCATATTAATATTTCTTTCGGTGTTGTCTTCATGCCCTCCGCTGTCCTGCCCCAGAGCTCCCGCTGTTGTGGGAGCGTCTGATCCGTAGTCGTCCTCCGGTGCATGATTAGCAGATTAGCCGTCGTGCCCAGAGCAGCAAAAAAATGAACTCCCAGAAGCCCTTCAAAACAGAGAATAATTCATTACCCACCTTGATTTCCACTTAAAATGTACTTTAACTACACTTCCAACTACAAACCCTAAATCATCCTCATGTTCACAAAAAATCCATCATTTTTTATTTTATTGCACAGCACTGGCATGACATAATCCCTTCCAGAGCGTCTTGGAGTGCTTTACGGATCAATAAATTACTTACCTGCACAGCAGAGGCAATGCCTGCAAGGCCATTGCAGTCATTCCAGCTCGGCACAGCCCCGGCACGGTGTGGGAGGTGGGGAGAGCCAGGGAAGGGGGTGCTCGGGAATGGGGTCCGAGTCACGATTTGGGGGTGTTGCAGTGCTCTGGCTGCAGCTTCATCCGGGTGGGTGACTGGGAGGGCGGAAGGAGCAGGATGCTTTGCAAATGATTTGTGACTCTCCCGCAAAGCGCCGCAGCGGGGTGCCGATCCGCTGCTAGGCTCCGGAGAACGGCCTGGAAAAAAATACGCCGAGGAAGGTGATGGTCTTTATTATGTTCTG